TGTCATCACTATCATCCGACAATTCGTGAAGCACTGGCCCTGGGGTTGGCACCGGTCCGGTTGGCATGGTGGCTGGAGGGGGCCTTGGGCGCTGGCCTCCCATGCCCTGGCCAAGAAGCGTCGCCAACAGCGGCATAAGGCCGGATACCGCATCTGCAGGGGTTCCAAAATAACAAAAAAAACAAAACAGGAGCCAAGAAGCTCCAGCAAAACACTGAAACATTGCAAGCCAAGAGACCTCCGCTGCCGCTTGCACCTTCGGATCCACCAACACCACCAAAGATATTGATGTTCACAATGGGGGGCCTGGGTGCATAGGGCGTCCCCAACCTCATCAAGCGCGGCCTCTTGGACTCCTGCACAGCCACCCCAGCATCTTCGGCCCTGATGCGGGTGCGATCCATGAAGGCCCTGGGCATGCCCTGGCTTGCCCTCTCAGTGCCCTTGCCAGCAATATTCTTGGCCTTGGGCATGGGCTTGGGGGTGATCGCAGCCTCAGTGGGTCTCTTTGAACTCCCAGAAAACAAAAAGAAAATAAAGGGAGACAAGGAACCCTCTTGGTGGAGCCCTTGCTATAGCCCTTGGCCTGCCCACGAAGGCGGCGTTTGATGCCCTTGGACTTCTTCTTGCCACCCTTATTGTCCTTCTTGGGCTTCATGCTGTGCACCCTTTCCAACATCTGCTCATACTGCTCGCGATCCTCGTCGGTGTCCTTCCATCCCTTGGAAGAGGTGGCCTTTTTGCCCTTCTTCCAATACTGCCAGTTGGGCTGGAAGGCATAGTAGAGCTTCTGAGTTGAAAAAAAATCTGGAGCAAAAACATTCCAGCACAAAATAAAAACTCCTTGCAGTCAAGTGTCGCAGCCTCTGTTGGTGCATCCCCCCTTCCGGAGGTAAGCGCGGGCTCCACATTTTTTGCACAGCCTCAAATCTGGTGTCCCAAAAGGAGGGATGATGGGGTCCTCAGCCTCCCCAGCTGAGCTCTCACCACCCTCAGGGTAGGAGTCCAAAATCGCTCCAATTTCCTCCGGGGACATCTCGCGATCGGACATCTTGAGGAGCAGCAAAAAAAACCAATCAAATACTTCCACAGCTGGAGGCTGAAATAGCTGCGAAATCAACAGCAAGCCTCCAGGCAAAACATCCAAGCTTGCAGTGCATGCTACATGCTAGCCCTTGCAACAGCAGCATCACAACCCTTCCAACAACATGCAG